GGCTCATGGGTATTTATGATATTATAAATAAATACATAAATAATAAGGGCTGTGCAGAGGCTGAACCAAGGACTCCTGATTAATCCAAGTTTCAGCATTCAATGTATTAAATGAGAAGGAAGAGAGGAAGAGAGAAAGAGGGAAGGATGCCAGGAGAGCCAGTCTCCCTTCCTTCCCACCCTCTGCCTTGCCTTCCTGCCCCTCGGCCTTTTATTTACCCCATAGACACACATTAGATGTTCCCTGTGAGCCTGCTCCCAGGCGAGGTGCCGCCCCAGGAGCAGCGGGATGAATCAGAGTCAACATCTGCTGCAGGAGCCTGACAGTTCCTGAAGGCCTTGCCCGGTGTGACTCGGGTCCGGCCACAGAGTGGCGTGCCCCTGGCCCACCCAGGGCTACTTGGGAAGACGGTAGAGCTTTGGACTTAGACATGAGTAAGATGAAATGGTAGGTGGGGGTGAAGAGAAAAAGCCATAAAGATGAACAAAGACAGCTGTGCCCTAGAAATGCTTACATCTCGGGAGCAGGAGGGTTGAGCAGGACAAGAGGCAACAGCAACAGTGGGATTGGGAAGGAAGCACACTGAGCCAGGGTGTCAGTCTTCCTGGGACAGACCATGCACAGAGGCAGCTGGAGGGTGAATCAGCGCTGCCTGGGGAGTTCGCACCAGACAGAGAGGTCAGTGTGAGCAAAGGCCCGTGTCAGGGAGGAGCGTGGCTCACTGGCATTGCTGAAGGGGTCTCAGTGTGGCCTGGCCCCGAGCACGGCTTGAAGACCAGCACACAGGAGCCAAATTCAGCTGAGAATGGGGAAACCATCCTGTGGGCCCTGGGGCACTTCTGAGGGGAAGGGGGTGAGGGGAGAATTTAAGTTGATACAGACAGCTCTGTCCGTGGGGCAAAGGTGAGGAGGCTGCTGCAGCCCTGGAGAAGGACAGGATATCCTGCTGAGCTGTTAAGAGGAACGAGATCAGAGAGATGAGCACCTGATGGGCAATGCCACACTGTGGGCTGGGCTCAGAGGGAAGGAGGAATGGAGGGAGACGTGCAGACCTCACACGCCACATTCTGCTCCGTGACATTGCAAATATCTGGAGCAAGTGTCAAGCTCCAGGATGTTCAGAAGGGAGGATTTTCCTTGACTTCTGTTAAACCGCGGTTGATACTTGCCGGAAACCAGGGCTTCCATGTCTAAAACCTGGAAAGTAGACGGTAAACCAAGCCCTGTTGGGAGAAGAGACGAGCCATGGTGGGGTTCACAGCTTTGCATTATAAGCGGCAGTTCTGTTACCCTGACTGCATGGACCCCCAATGGACCTTCTGCTCCAGGCAGGACTTTTTTATTTTATCTTATTAATATATTTTATTGATTTTTTACCGAGAGGAAGGGAGAGAGATAGAGAGCTAGAAACGTCGATGAGAGAGAAACATCGACCAGCTGCCTCTTGCACACCCCCTACTGGGGATGTGCCTGCAACCAATGTACATGCCCTTGACCAGAATTGAACCTGGGACCTTTCAGTCCGCAGACGGATGCTCTACCACTGAGCCAAATCGGTTTCAGCTCTAGGCAGGACTTTGCCTCCACTCCGGAATTCCAAGGCTGCTGTAGATCTTGGTGAGAAGTAGACAGTAGACAACGACAAGAGAGAACCATGCTCAGGAGATTCTTCTGTCCTTGTTACAACGAGGAAGCTAAGACCCAAAGAATCTGAATTGAAATGTAAGCCCAGGACTGCCTGGCTATGTTGATGAAATATTGTGCTTCCTTTTGTGAGTGAGACTGGCTAGTTCTTCGAGGGTTTATTTTTTGAATCATCCTTGGACACGTAAGGCCATATTGCATTAATTATCTATTGCTACACAACAAATTATTCCAAAATCTAGCCGCTTAAGACAACAAACATGTATTCTCGTACAGTTTCTGTGGGTCAGGCATCTGGGTACAGCCCAGATGAGTATGTCTGACTCAAGGTTTCCTGTGAAATTACAGTCAAGGTGTCAGACAGGGCTGCGATCTCATATGAAGGCTCCGCTAGGGAGCAATCCAATGTCAAGTTCACTCACATGGTTGTTGGCCGCCCTCAGTCCCACACCACCTGGGCCTCTCCCCAAAGGCTGCCTCAGAACTTGGCGGCTGACTTCTCCCAGAGAGGTGATCCCAAAAGACAGCAATAGCAAGAATGAGAGAGAGAAGATGAGTGAAACAGAACCACAGGATTTGTTTTTAAAATATTTCAGAAAGGAAGGGAGAGGGAAAGAGAGAGAGAGAGAAACATAAATGATAAAAGAGAATCATTGATGGGCATGCAGGAGGGGATGGAGCTGGCAACCTGAGCATGTGCCCTGACCAAGAATCAAACCGTGACTTCCTGGTTAATAGGTCGACGCTTAACCACTGAGCAACACCAGGCAACCCACAGGTTTTTAATAACCTAATCTTGGAGGGACATCCCATCACTTCTATACTTCTATGGTGTTCTATTGCTGAGGATCAAGTCAATAAGGCCAGCCCACACCTAAGGGGAGGAGGCGTTACACAAGGGTGTGAAACTAAGAGTCGGGGATCACTGGGAGCCATCGCAGATGTTGCTCACTTCAATCTGGGTATCCTGGCAAGTTCTCTCCCCGGATATCCAGGGACCTGAGGTGCTGATGTGGACACTCACTTGTGCCTAAGGCACAGTCTCAGGTACAGGGCCCCTGAGGTGAGCCCATCTGGAGTCCCCAGCAGAGGGAAGAGGTAGTTTCTCACATGGTGACCATTGCGCCCTCCCCAACTAGTGCTTGAAGCTGTTGTAATGCTTTCTAGCAAGGAGGGGAAGCCATGGGCACACCCTCGTCCACCCTGTCAGCCGGATTGGGTTGGGTCCAGGGGGAGAAACCACCAGCTTAAAAGTCTTCTTTAAACGCTTCTTTGCTCCTGACCTTCTTTCCTCAGATGTTCTTTTCTTGTTCCTCAACCACCGCGCCCATTGGCCCCACAGTTGCTTGTCAAGTAGGTGCTCTGGGAGGAAGGACTGCCGAGGAGATCCCTGGAGAAACAGTAAGTGTGAGGGGAGTTCTGAACTGCCATTCGGGTCAGTTCAAGCCCATTTACTCAATATCTGTCCTGGGAGAGGTACAGGGATCCAGAGATATCAAGAACAGATACTTGCCCTCCTGGGGGTTCACAGTATTAGGAGGGAGACGGATGTACAAATGCAATAACAACACAGAATAAGTGCCATAAACACTTGATCAATACATTCTTTTTTTTTTTATTACTTGATTAAGGTATCACATATTTGTCCTCATACCCCCCATTCCCATCCCAAACCCCTCCCCATGCATGCCCCCACCCCCCTGTTGTCCATGACAACTGGTTAGGCTCATATGCATGCACACACGTCCTTTGGATGATCTCTCTCCCTTACCTTCTCACTCTCCCCTACCTTCCCTCTGAGGTCTGCCAGTCTGATCGATGCTGTTCTTGTTCATCAGTCTTTATTGTTCACCATGAGTGAGCTCACGTGATACTAGAAATACACTTATAAGAACCGAAAATGAGACAAGCAATAATGGTTATGCTGAGAGGCAAATGAATCAGTCTATAGTGAGTTTCTTTCTGGGCCAACAGTTCTTTTGAGTCCCAATTTCTATGTCAAACAGTTCCTTATGTGTACATGTCAGCCATGATATTTCAGATATGGATGGTGGACAAATGGTGGTAATGCAGGTCCGACCCTCTCTTGTTTGGTCCTGAGTCAATACATTCTTTTATCACCCCACCACGACTGCCCTGACTCAACACGCATCACCTCTGCTTGGGCTATTTCAGTAGCCTTCACGCTGGTTCCCTCCATCCATCCACTCTGATGCTGAGATCTTTCTAGAGTGCAAATCTGACAAAGTCACTCCCCTGGTTAACGGCTTCTCCAAATGGTCCTGGGGAAAGGCCAGACTCGGGATGGCCCCCAAGACCCCAGGCACTGTCTGTCCCCCCAGCTTCCTCTCGCCACTTTCTGCTCACATTCCAGGCATACCATAGACTCTGTGCTCTGGGAGGTGACCCAAATGACCACCCAGGAGCTCGTTTGTGTAGCCACCTCCACCACGAAGCACTCCCAGACTGCCCTTCCCAGTCTGGGAAAGGAGCCCCACAGCCCCATTGGTTGGATTGTCTTTACTTGTCTGTGTCCCAGGTGAGGGGGGAGCTCCGTAGCTAGGCTTTCTGGTACTTGGCACAGAGACAGCTGCGATGAGACAAAGGACTGCGGGATGGAACTGAAGTCAAGTCTGGGCGCACAGAAGATGGCCCCCCGAATGGGAACTTTCAGCTTTCCCCAAGGCAGCACAGATGCTGCTAGCAGCATCCCCTAGGCCTCCGCTCTGGCCACGCCATCTTCCTTATCTCTCCAGCTCCAACTCACAAAGCAGGGGGCCACCATCGTCTGAGCAGAGAAATCCACTTCCCAGCAGCTCCGGTGGGCGAGCCGGGAAGGCCCTGCGAAGCAAGTACAGTATGCAATTGAACTTCCAGAGATGAGAGTTGGAGCTTGATCTTTAAAAAAAATAAAAAAGTGTGGTCCTGTGTCTAGGTCAAGAGGATATTCAACCATTCTCTTTTCCCGGCTGCTCTTGCCCACGTGCGTCGGTTGGGTAAAGACACCCAAGCTTCCAGAATGGCGCAGGGTGTCTCCTCCCCCTCGGGGGTACCCACCCGGGCGGGCGCGCTTGAATGAATGGGGGAGGACCCGCGCGCATGAATGAATGAGTGCGTGAGTGAGGGAGTGAGCGGGCGGGTGAATGGCGACCTCGCCGCCGCCGGCTCTGCACCGGGGCGCGGGCTCCACTTCCCTCTCCCGCCAGCGGGTGGCCTCGGGAAGGTGGCGGCGGCGCCGGCAGCAGCGGCCCGGGCTGGGACGGGCGGGCCGGGGCGCGGGATGGTGGGGGAAGGGGCGTTCCCGGCGGCCGCGCCTTCCGCGGCTATTGGATTAGTGGCCTTCAGGGATGAGCTCAGCCGGATCGGCTTTCAGCTGCAGCCTCCGGGCCGGCCGGGAAGGCGGGGAGCGGGCGGCGGCGGCGGAGGGGGAGGCGGCGGCGGCTGCAGCATCCAGGGCTGGCCGCGGCGGCCGGCGCGCCCCGCGCACAAAGGCGCCCGGCCCCCGGGGAGGGCGATGAGCGCCCCGCAGTCCGCGGCCGGGGCCCAACGCCAGCCACCGCCGCTGCCCGCGCTCCGGGCGCCGGGGAAGACGCAGGGCGGCCGAGGCGCGGCCCGTGAGCCCTGAGCTCGGGACTCGCCGCCCTCCCTCCGCGTCGGGGCGCGGAGAGCTTTGGAGCAGCGGCTACAGCGAGGGCCTCGGCGCGCCCCCGGGATCCGCGCAGGAGGGCGCCTGCCCGCTCCTCGCCGACCGACCTCCCGCACCTTCCCGCGGCGTCCGAGCGCCAACTTCCCCAAGAACGCTCCAACTCCAGGCCACCCCGCCGGGCGGAGGGGGCGCTGCTGCCGGGCACCCGCCGGGAGGACGCACCCCTGGCCCCAGGGAGCCAGCCGGCGTCTCCGGGGGAAGCTGGGGCGGGCGCCTCCCTGGGAAGCCCAGACCTGCAGGCGGTCGCCCTCTCTTTTATGGTGAGTGTTCCTTCTCCAGCTTCTGGGGAGGGGCGCCCCGAGGCGCACGGGAGCCGGGAGCCGGGATCTGGCCGCGCGGACCGCGTGCGAGCCGGCACTCGCCGCAGCCGGCGCTCCTGGCCGCGGTCCCGCCCGGGTCCCCGGGAATTCCTCTCCGCCGTCGGCTGGAGTCGTCGGAGCTGGGAGCTGGGTGGTTTGCGCGCAGCCTTGGGGCGTTCGGGGCCAGCCCCTGGCACTGCAGGGTGGTAGCCTGCTACTTCTCTGAGTAATGGAGATGGCACAAAAAATTGTTCCCTCCCCCCAACCTCACCCCCTCCTTCGCGCCCCCCCCCCCCCCAGGTCACCCTGCCTGGGTTTGGGTCCATTCACTGGCTGCGTGACCTTGGGCAAGTCTCCAAACCTCGATTTTCTCCCCGGAGGATGGGGGTGATAACGGTAGTGCCCGTGTTTGGGGGTCCTGGCGGGATCTGCGCCCCTAACGCCTGCAGACCTGCGCCTGGCGCTCAAGAAGCCCTCCATCCAATGCTAACTGGCGTTATTATCGCGGTGTGGGCCCCAGCGTGCCACCCAACTTTCCGGAGCGGCAGCATCTCCCGCACGCAGTGGGCTCTGGTGAAGCGGGAGCTGTCGTCATTTATTATTTTTCTGCTGGACCCTGGGGTCGCGTGGCTGGCCGCCCGGCCTGAACGCTGTTGGGCGCCAGGTCCCGGCCTTGCTGCTTGGAGACAAACTTGCCGGCGCGGCTCTGGAGGGAGGGGGTCTCCGGCTCCGGAGTGGCGGGCAGGGGGTTGGGGTCTGGGGTCTGGGGTTTGGGAAGAAGGGAGGGAGGAGGCTGGAGCCAGGAGGGCTGCAAACGTGTGGGTCAGGTTAGCGCAGGAATAGTGGGTGCGGGGCGGGGGAAGAGGCTGCCCCCACCTCCCTGCACTCGGAGGTGCAGCAGGAGCTGTTACAGACTGGGAGGGAGAGCCGGGAGCCTCTGTACCCCTGTCACCAGGACGTGGGGGGCGGGGTGTGTGTGTGTGTGTGTGAGTTCAAATTCTGCCTCCACCACCCGCCTGTGGGATGACCTTGGGCAAGTACTGTGTTCTCTCCCAGCTCGATTACCTCCTCTGGAAGAGATTGGAGGTGGGGGTCAGAGCAGTTCTCTCCTCTCCAGGAATCTTCGTCCCTATCCTCCCCCACATCCCCTCCCCCGCCCCACCCCCCACCCCCGCGCTCCGATGAGCCTAAATCAGGAAGACTTAAAATGTGACGCTGAGCCTGGGATAAAACGCTATCAGAATTCAGGATCTGCCCACCCTCTTCTCTGCCAGTCCCTGCGCCGTGCACCTGGGCGAGAGGGGAGGATCAGGACACTGGACTTCCCCATTGTGGGGCCTCTGCCCTAGATCCTGCAGCTTCTGTCACTCAGGCTGACGGGGAATCCCTCCTCATCCTCCGAACCCTTCATTTATTTTAAGCGCTGATGATTACGGAGTTCTTAGAAAGACAAAGTGTCGGTGGTATAATATAAACACGCTTTACACAAGGGCATAGCTCTCTGATTGATTCTATTTATTTTTTTAAAAAGAGCGTTTTCTTGTTTCACTCATTTATGCATTCGTTGGTTGATTCTTCTATGTGCTCTGACTGAGGTTCGAACCCACTTTCCATCGCTAGCATACCAGGACGAGCTCTAGCCAACTGAGCTACCCAGCCAGGGCCCTGATTTCATTATTTTCCTCTTCCTTAAAAGTAGTAATACATGAGATGTAAGCTACATTTGGCAAACAACAAACAAAATTCAACTTGCCAGCTATTCCGCTTAAGCATCTTCCCAGTTTATATTTCTGTTTTATTTCTGAGACTGATGCAGGAGGGAGGCGGGTGCTGTGGAGGCGGCCGGCCTGCTTGGATGTGGGGTAGGGATTAGTGTGTGCCAGCCAGGCAGGAGGAGGTGGGAGGGCTCCCGGGACACCGGGGTATGGGGCGCCTGGGGAGTCTGCTGTGACTGGTCTGCAGTGGGCCATGCAGGGAGACTGGCTGGGGGGGAAATAAACAAGAATGATACTTTTATGCTACAAGCTCAGGGGTGCACCTTCTCCCTGGAGAAGCTCCCTGGAGAGTGGAAAGAAAAGGTGGGTTGGGAGCACAGATTGGAGCCCCGTAGCCCTGTAAGACCAGCACTGCAGACACCCAGGCCGGGGAAGTGGAAGGACAGTGAGGGAGGGAGCCTGAGAGATGGGGGGCCATGGCAGACACAGGGACGTGCAGAGAAGAACCTGGTATGCCAGAGAGGGTCAGGGCTGAGGCCAGCCCTGGTGTCTGGGCTCGGAGGTGCCCGTGGGTGCCTCCAGGTCTGACATCTGGAGAGGGTGGAGGCGTATGGTGAAAAGAAGCCAGCTGGCTTTAACAAAGGTCTTGTGAAGGAGCCCTAGTCCCGGGGGCCCCGAAGCTTCTAGGTCGCTGGGTGCTGAGGGGAGAAGGCAGGGCTGGAGACCCAGTTTGGGAGAATCTGCAAGGGCTGGAAATGCCCATCAAGCCAAGACACATGGAGAGAGAGAGAGAGAGAGAGAGAGAGAGAGAGAGAGAGAGAAAAGAGACTGAAGATGTGACCTAAGGGGCAGCCCGTTTGTGGGGCAAGCAAGGTGGGCTCTGGAGCCAGGAGGTGGCAGGAAGCCGCTGTGAGCCCTACTCCTTCGTGTGCTGTTGTGTTCAGAGGAAGAGGCCCACACTCGGCACCTGGCTGCTCCTGCTGCGGAATGTCATTTGGGGTGAGCCTGGAGCTCTGCCTTCTTCAGGGAAAAGTGAAGTTCCGTCCAGCGAGTTGGGCCACAGAGACATCTGACCTGTCAGCCACACACACAGTGCGATTTGCAAGTCACACAGGTTCATGGGGCCGAGTGGCTCCCTCCCCCCTGGTGCTGCCCCCTCCCCACCCCCCCCTCTGGTTCTCCCTGGCTCCCTGCTTCCTCACCATCCCCTTTTCCTCTCCAGTCTCCCCGCCCTGGTATCTCAAAAATGATCGCAGACACCCCTCAGGCTTACCAGAGGGACCTTCCGAAATCTCAGCAGATCCCTATTATGATCTAGATTAGGGGTGTCGAACTCAATCAGAGAAGGGGCCAAAATCTAAAATCCAGCCTAAATCGCGGGCCGAATGGTTTACTGAACAGTCATAAACTGTCATTGTGATGGAAACGCAGCGGAGTGCAGTGATGACAGCGCGGTGCGGGCCACATTGCAAGGCCTGGCGGGACGGATTTGGCCCGCGGGCCTTGTGTTTGACACACGTGATCTAGATAAAGTCTGAGGCATGAATAGGTTCGCTTTTCTTTCAGGCATCCGAGTTTTCGGACAACCGGCTATACCACTGGGGCAGAGGGCAGCCTGGGAGAGAACGGAGGGGCTGGGCATGAAGACGCTTGTGTTTTCTCCTTAGGAGTCTTCCCAAGAGGGTCGCATTATGCAGCACCTTCCCCCACCCCTGTCCTCCAGCTTTGCTCCAGCCTCAGCCTTGCTGGGCCTCCCAGCAGCCAGCTGTCCTGCACCTGCAGAGCCACCCATATGTGCCTGGGGCAGCCCTCTGGGCACAGGGGCGCTGCAGTGCGGACCAGGCCTGCCTGGAAGGTGTGTCTCTTTCAAATGACCTTGCGGAGCATTGCTGGCCTGCAAACCTCCTTCATCCCAGCGCCTGCTCCTCGTGTTGGCTGCCAGCCCGAGCTCCCGCCTTGGGGGCTCCTGGCTCAGTCACGCGTGGGAGGATTCCCATGGAAACCCCACACGAAGGAGAGGCCCGGGGGAAGCCTCATTGATTCCGCTCCAGAGAGACAGGCGTGAGACGGCCGCACCTGGGCCTGGACAGATGGCCCTCTTTGTGAGCTCCTAGGAAGGGAGGGCCTGCCTGGCCAGTGGCAGGGGGAGCTCTGTGCCTGTGGACAGAGGGGGCACGCTAATGGTCGCCTGGGAATAAAACCTGGGGGTCCTTTAGCTTATGCATCACTGGCAGGTTCCTGCTGAATGAGCCTCTTTTCATAAAACAGCTCGTCTGCTTCATGTGTGTACTAAGAAAAATCTCACAAAACCCCAGTCCACGGAGGCATCGTTGTCTCTTTACAGAGGCACAGGGATGAACATGAGGAGCCAAGACAGGGCTCCGGAGCTGGGTGCTCCCCATTCTCATCTCGGCGGAGTGCTTTGTGAGGCGGCAGGTGGCTTTTATTCATCTGTCCGGGCCTGGGTGCTGTGTAGACGGTCACCCACCACTCTCCCCGGGCCGGAGCCACGCCGGGTCCCAGGGACGCCAGTGAGAAGGCCCAGCCTCGCTGTGTGTTCCCGGCGGGTGGGAGGGAGGCAGCTAAGAAGACACCATGGCCTCTTGTGATTAGTCTGTGATGGAGACAGGGGCAGGGTTCTGAGAACAGCGGGACCCAGATGTGTGCAGTGTGGGGGTGAGCAGGGAGAGAGAAGGAGCAAGGGCAGCAGCATGTCAGGGCATGGGTGGGCAGATGGAGAAGGGGTTCACGGAGGAAGATGGGCTGGGGGAGCATTTGGGGAGGGTTAGGGTCAGGAGTCTGCACTTGTTCCGGTGGAGAGACGGGAGGATCTTAAGCAGGGAGCATGATGAGACTGGCGTTGCGTTGTGCGGGTGCTGGGGTATGTATCTGAAAGCAGCATGCAATGTATTAAAGGAACTCCAGGGGCATTCACCTGCACTGCTTATTACAGTTCTTGTCACTTTTCAGACCTGTAACCGGACGTCAGCTCTCCCTCGAGGGAAGGAAGTGATAGGGTCTCAGACTTCCTTTGGCCTCGGATCCAGGGAGGCATCATTGCTCTGCTTAAAAGAAGGGACGAAATCCACAGCCACCCACTACCTCAGCGAGTCTGAAGCCAAAGGCCACCCTGAGGGGAGCACTGCCCCCCCGTCATGGCCAGTTCCTGCAGCAGCCATGCCGCCTGGCAAACCCCCTGCCTGGGCGAGCCCAGCCAGACAGGGCCTTCCAGGAAGGGACTCCCGA